TAGTCCCCTCTCTCTACTGGCTAGCAGCATAAAACTGGGAATAGCTGGGTTCATGTTTAGTGCTACCTTTACAGCCTGCCTGGCCCAGCCTTAAAAGGGGGCTGGTTACTTCCTGACTCACTTCTTTTTTCTTTCTTCCTTTTCCCCCCTCCAACCTAGAGAAAAAATGTAAGAAAAAAACCTTGATGTGCTCCAATTGAGAACTGTTGGGGTTTTTCTTGGGGTGAGGAAGAGACAGACCCTGTCCAGCTTCCAATCTCTCCTGCCCCTTTCTTTAGCTGCAGAAGGGAGAAACCAAAATAGCCAAGGAAAGCGAGTGCCTAAGGGCCTCATTTTAACACAGCACATCAAGAGCCTCGCCTTGATCTCAGGAACGAAGATTAAATAGTAGACTGGTCAGCAATTCCCATGTAGAGGTTGACTTGTAGGGAATGTATACAGGTAGTTCTTGACTTACAATCCCAATTGGACCAGAATTTCTAAGCAGGGCAGTTATTAAGTGAGCCGCACCCGATCTTTTATTTTTTGGCACTGCAGTTGTTAAATGAAATGTCATTAAGTGAATCCTGCCTTGCCCACTGTAAGTTGAGGACTACCCAGATGCACGATTGACTGCTAGATGTTGTAGTTTAGCAATATCTGGTGACCCTCAGGATTCCCAGTGCTAGTCTTGATTCTCACAACCATACAAGAAGCAACATAGACCCTACTGTGCAGGTTTTTGCCCCCAAGTTGCTGATGTTTCTGGATCACAGGCTTAGCTTCATATAAACAATATTAAATATGTTTTCAAATTGTAATTCAGGCACCAACTATTGGGACTGCAACATTTTCAGGTGTTCCCTAAGGTGAGAATGAAAATGCTGATGGGCTAAAACATGACTTTCCAGTGAAACCTATTTTTCCACCATGTTGCTGAACCTGATAGGTTTGATGCAGATAGGGTGGTGGTGTTTGTTTCGGGATGGCTGCCATCAAGGACATGCGCTGTAGCTGAGTGTCACCTTGAAATTTTATAAGCATCTTCCTACATGATGCAGATGAGAAAAGAGGAGATCACCACCAAAGAAAATCAGGTTAGTGGTTCTAATACTGCAAAACTGTAAGGCTGGCTTTGAAAAGCTGTTGTTGGGTTTTACTTGTCCCAAGATTTTTGCTGTTAGAAGAAAAGACTTGACAGTATTAATACACACCCTTTGCATGGTTGAAAGCTGACAAAACAGCAATTGGCTCTTATTTTGGGACTAGTGATAGGACCATAACTTTAATTCACTTGCTAGTAACTAGCTGATCTGGTGACTTCTGCCTATATAGTCCAATTTTCCCCTGCTTCTCATGAATTGTTGCCTAGCTCTTTAGCCTTAATCATAGCTGTGACTTGGCCACATTGCTGCTGCATCAACTCTAACTGAAAGCCAGCGTTGCATATTACAGTTGCCGCAAAGGCTTTTAGTGACAGTGTTGTGTTATAATATTGCTAATATTAACAATACGTATGTTGACAATATAGGAAGCTGACCATAATCACCATATATGGACCATGAGTTATCTATCTTATGGGCTTTTCCTTCTGGAAATCTTTAACACAAGAGTCTTCAAACTTGGCAAGTTTAAAAGTTGTGGACTTCAACTCCCAGAATTCCTGAGCTAACATGACTGGAGGAGGAATTCTGGAAGTTGAAGTCCACAAGTCTTAAAGCTGTCAAATTTGAAGATCCCTGCTTTAACAGAATGCATATAGCCATCTGTGGGATGCTGTACAATTCAGATTTTTCAAGTTAAGCTGGAGAACCATTGTCTCACGGTCCCTCCATTTCCATCCATCTGTGAATTTGGTCCTTATAGAAAAGATGTTTCCTGAAAGGCCATTGGAGGTGGCCAGGTATATTAGAAGCCTTCAGCTCTTTCCTTCCAAAGGCATTCCTGCTATCTCCTCATGCTCTGGTGGGAAAACTCATCAAAGTGCAGATCTCAATCACGTACTTAAGACACTAAGAATGACGATGCTGGGACAGGGTTTGCTCATCTTCCGGGTGTAGATCTGCCATGAGTCACTCTGATGGAACACTTTCCTCTCAAACTGGATCAGCTGAGTTATCGGCCTCACCCATCCCTTGCGCATAGTAAGCGGATAGATTTCACCTAAGGCTGTGCTTGGAAGCAATTTGTCATCGTGTTACATTCTTCCCCAGCCCCCCTACCCCTTTCTTTATGGAAATCTCCGTAGAAATGAGAAGGTCTTTTCCTTAGAAAGCAGCTTGAATTCTGAGCCCCAACTATTGTATCGTTTCCTTACAGAGAAGGTGCAGAAAACATTGGTTAAAATCTTTTGTAGTGCAATGTCCATAGAGGTATATGGATGGACGGATGGACAGACAGACAGACAGGTTTATTATTTAAAAGCAGGGAATGCAAATAGTTGCCAATAATTTTGCTTTGGACATTTTGGGGGAAAATGTTTGTTGTTAGTGGGGCATGGGGCATCTTTCTTTGATTTTGAGTAGCTGAGTAGTTAGGTAATTTAAATGCTGCTCCTTCTTATGGGGAGCCTTTTTAAAGGTCAAGACATATTTATTTTGAAATTGAATTCATTTTTCATTCAGGTTTCTGTCCCACTTCAATTGCAATCAACTGTACTAAGCCAACTCTGAACTTTTTGTAGGCCTTATTTCTTTTTGGGGGGTACCTTAGGTTTCTGTCCCAAAGAGACTACATAAAGGCCTTGCTCTACGAATTATTGACCTCATTATGATTTTAAAATCTTTGCTATCTTAAGATGCCACCATTTACCATCAGATCACTGATCTGTTTAGCTTCATATTGTTTTTTCTGATGCAATGGAATTCTCAACAAACCTGGGGAATGTGGACAGGGCAGTTGGACATTTAAGGGAGCGAACAATCCCTTATTCTTGAATCCAGAGGTGTAAGAAAGAGACTCAGAGTAACTCCAGCTTGATTACACCAGGTATACATTGTATAGGAGAATCACTTTGGTAGGTTTTCAAAATTCTGTTACGTTACCTTATTAGTGCTCTTTCTAGAAATCCAAGGGGTTCTTTTTTCTTGAACTTGCTAGTTTCATACATGGTATCTGAGTGGTAGCAAACATCTCACTTTGTCCTATTGCTTCTTGGGTTATGAGTGTATCCCCGCTTCCTGCTAAGTTGAATATTCACAGAGGGAGGAAGGGATAGTCATGACTGCATAACAGAACCAAGATACTACAAGAGAAGACCCTCAGGCTGAAAATCCCTCTCCCTTGGGATCTGAAAAACCAGACCGGTGTTTGCTAACTAGGCACCTTCCAGATGAATTGGAAATGCATCTCCCAGAAATTTAAGCCATCAGTCATTGTCTGGACACATCTGGATGGTGCCGGGTTGGGGAAAGCACGATAGTGAGTTATTGAACAAATAGCGTGGCTTGGTGTGACTCATATTTTAACATTTAAATCTTTTAAATTGAGAAATAAGCTGGCGTTGAGTCATGAAGGGCTGCAGTTCAATTCTAGAGCGCATGGTTTGCAGAGTGAAGGTCTAATATTCAGTTCCCGCATCCCTGCTAATTGTTTTATTTAAACAATATCAGGGGTGCCAATGTAATCAGATAACAAATAATGTGAAAATGAGAGATTGTTGCAACCTGAATCATGGACTCGTGGAGTGGAAAGCCACAAGAATCATCCCATCTTATTCTCTGTATTTTATGGGGAAATATACCTCTCCATTCTCGAGAGGTATATTTAAACTTATAGCAACTGCAACTTTGAGCAATTATTCATGACCCTAACTTCTGTGCTAATAGAAATTAGTTCTTGACCATCTTATTGTGACACTCTTCTATATTGGAATGATGACTTGAAGAGGACCAGCCATTTATAAGTAGTCTGATGTTGTATAAGACAATTTTCTTGAGAAGGTATTTAGAAATACATGAATACAGGTAGTCATCTTATAACCATAATTTAACCCAAACTTTCTGTTGCTAAGCAAGGCGGCTGTTAAGTGAGATTTATTCCATTTTAGGACCTTTTGCCATGGTTGTTAAGCAAATCACAGCAGTTGTTAAAATGAAACTGGCATTCCCCCATTGACTTTCCTTGCCAGACACCAGCTGGGAAGTTACAAATGTCAATCACATTGACTCCAGGACAGGCATAAAGCGACCAAAGTTTTGATCGTATGACCATGGGATGTTGCAATGGTCGTAAGTGTGAAAAGCAGTCATCACTTTTTTCGGTGTCATTGTAACTTCAAATGGTCACTAAATGAAGGTTCATAAGGCAAGGACTACCTATAAGTAGAGATTTTGCATGTGATAAATTTGATCTGGTGCTAGTCTTTCATAGATATGGACCATCACTTGAGACTGTAGCAGGTCTGTACAGATGTTCATGCAACACAGACATACTTAGAAAAGTCCACTCCATTGCCCTCGTTCTGGTGAAGTAATTGTTAGATACAGCACTGGTTGTTTTTTTTTACATGCTTTTCTGTTTTAAACTTGAGCCTATAATTTGAATTTAACCTTGAGGTTAAAAAAATACTTCAGGTCTTTAATTGAATATCTTACTAGTCCCATTAAGTGTATTTTTCTGAACTCTATGGATTATGTTCCATTATATACATGCTTCCTTAATTTTAGAAAGAAAGCAGTTTCACAAGCAATATAATTTAAAATGAGTAATTTAATTAAGTGTGAGATTCCCTAGAATACTGGCTCACACAGGAGATGCAAAGACAGCAAGGATTAGGACCAGAGGCAGCTCAGGTTGAAGAAATACTGTATATGTGTGCTGCCCCCTGGAGGGGAAGGATAGTCCTATCATACTCTCTGGTTCGTCATTTGGCCAAAGCTTCCACCTAGACAAGCAACCTCTTGCTCAAGAAGCTCCCAAAAGGCTGCATTTCCACATCCTAGGCAGGTATGCATTCACTCACTCACGCTCTGGCTCCAAGGTGAATCACTGCAACTCCTTTTAAGGAGAGGCTGCATGAAAGGAAGTGGGGGAAGGGTTCATGGAGAGCTTCACCACGCCTCGTTCTTCCTTCAGGCTGAGACGCCAAGCCAAAAGCTGATCCCAGCAGCTAAACTCAGCAGAGATTCCGACAGCTTTGCTAGCAGCTGCCTGATTCCTCTCCAAATAGGCCTCCTTGCCCAGCACTCCCTATCACTGCCTATTCACAATGGCCAGGAATCACCTAGTACAGAAAGCCAAGCTAGCTGAACAGGCTGAGCGTTATGAGGATATGGCTGATTTCATGAAGGCAGTAGTAGAGGATGGAGCCGAACTCTCTAATGAAGAACGCAATCTGCTCTCGGTTGCCTACAAGAATGTAGTCGGCTGTCAGAGATCGGCATGGCGGGTTGTCTCCAGCATTGAGCACAAGACGGAGGAAGGAGATGACAAAGCTCAGCTGGTCAATGAATATCGGGAGAAGATCGAGAAAGAGCTGAAGAACGTTTGCAATGTGGTCTTGGGGCTCTTAGACAAGCATCTCATTCAGAAAGCTAGCGACCCAGAAAGCAAAGTGTTCTATTTAAAAATGAAAGGCGACTACTTCCGTTACCTGGCTGAGGTGGCTGCTGGGGATGATCGAAAGCAGATAATTGACAATGCCCGAAAAGCTTACCAAGAGGCAATGGACATCAGCAAGAAGGAGATGCAACCCACAAATCCTATCCGCCTGGGCCTTGCTCTTAACTTCTCCGTGTTCCATTATGAAATTGCCAATGCTCCAGAAGAGGCAATCAAGCTGGCCAAGACGACCTTCGATGAAGCCATGGGTGACCTCCACACGCTCAGTGAAGATTCCTACAAAGACAGCACTCTCATCATGCAACTTCTCAGGGACAATCTCACATTATGGACAGCGGAGTGCTCAGGAGAAGAAGGCGGAGAAGCGGGTGAAGAGCCAAAGAACTGAACTTTTTAGACAATAGAATGATGGTAACTCCACATCTCCCTTCCACTTTTGTTCTTTTTTCCAACACATGGTATTTTTTTATAAGACGCATCTCCAGTTCCTGAAAGTTTCAACGGGATTTTGACAGCAAAAGGGGATGGATTCATAAATGACTTAAGCATTTATCCACTTGTCCTCATGTGACAGCTTTGGGATTACCTTGGTCCTTGGGCCCCATTCTTCCTGGTATGTGACATCTGCTAGACTCACCGCAGCCTGGAACTCCTTGCTTGGGTTTTTTTTCATAAACTCTTGTGTTTGGTACAGCACGTGGTTAATACAAGTGTTCTCCTGGTATGGGAAGGAGAGAAATATATATATATATATATATATTTTTGCATGGCAAAGATACCAAAATAGTAGCTGAACCAAGTTAAACAAGAATACTTGTCTTTGCTTTCTCCAGTGCTTGCTTTTGTTCTGTGGGGTTTTCTCACTCCGGGCCAGAAGTTGGATATACGGCCTTTGTGTGAATGTGGGAGGGAGGATTTATTCTAAGGGGGTTAAAGCTAGCAATCTCAAGAGAGCCTCTTGCTACTGTGGTGTTACTGTGGTGGTTTGCTGCAATACTCTTCCCCAATAAAATTTCACATTTATGCCTGCCTTTTGTAGTTCTGGTCTTCAGTTCCATGTCTGGTTGTTTGCAGGTAAGATGCCTCTTAGAGCCACTTCAGAGGTAGGAACACAAGTCGAAGCAAAAGGTATGGTGAGCAGGTTGATTCATGTTAGACGTTTCCCTGTTCTTCTGAAATCCAAGGTTCTCCTGCAGGCTTTAGGGGGTGGAGGTGGGAGAACAGTATGTCTGAAGCAAGACCAGCATTGTGTAGGTTTCATCAATAAAAGGAAAAGAGAAGGGGGGGAGTTGCGAAGCAACCCTGAAAAATAGCTTTAAGGATAGGACTATTTTGATCTGGGTGGAAAAGGATGCATCCCCCTTCTCCACGCTTGTATTTTCCAGGACCACAAATGCTGCTCCTTTATTCAGGAAGCACATGACCATGCATCAAATCCCACTAATGGTTGCTTTCTTTTCTTTTTTGGACTGGGTGTGATCAGGGTTTGTTTGGTTTTTTTTGACATCCTACACTGATGCAGACCAACCCTTTTGCACCAGAGAATATTGGGGTGTTATATGACTATGTGTGCTGTTTTGGCTCACATTTGGTTTATTTTAAACACCAAGAAAGCCTATTGATCTTCCTAAAAAATGTGACTAAGAATGTAACTAGTTTTCTTCTTGGTTGTTCAGGAAACAAAGTGTCAGAAAAGTCTATATGTCTCTTGCTTAATTTCCTTAGCACTTTCAGGTGGATCTCAAGATCTGTTTGAGAACCTTGAAGAGCATCCACCTTTCATGCCAAAGAAAGGTGAACCAGTGGTCTTCGACTGATTTCTTTGTTCCGAGCTGGTAGGCTATGGGAGGACACATATTTGGCATGCAAGAAGTCCCATGTTCTGTCCATGAACCTCTAAGCAGAGCTGAGAATTACTCCTCTGTCAGTCCCTGGTGAATCAGCCAACGAAGAGGGCTTTTTAAAAAAAATTGCCCAAGCTTAGCCAAAAATCAAACAAGGATAAAGATATAACAAGCAAGAAAAATATATATAAAGCATAATAAAAATGTTCCCATCCCCAGGAGTTAATTGATCTAGATGGAGTAACAGTCTGATTTAATTCACGACCCTTTCCTGTCTTAAGTTGATTATTATGGACTAACTCCTCTTAAGAGAAACTTTATTTTTTATTATGGAAGACTCCTTGGAGAATATTATTCCCCAACACCTGTACGAATTGTCAAGGCTAGTTTTAATTTCACTACTTTAGAAAAATGCAGCTTTCACTTCATTCTTAGAAATCTTCCGTGCACCATCTATTTTTGAACATCCAATCTCAGAACTACATGATGAAATGAGGTGAGTGTATTTTTACTTCTGCTGCCCATACAGAAGGCTGGGGCTTTCTCTAGCAGACCAAGTGAAGCAAGCAAGTATTTCACCTGTCCTTGATGTCTCCATACTGCATTTATTTTTGAGGTCAAGAAAAAAAAAAACCTCACCCAACTAACTACCATTTGGTGGAGTGGCAAGCTAGCCTCACATTTATTTGGGGACAGGAACTCAGCTAGAAGTTAATTAGCTCCGGTCCTGAAGACCTTGAGATGCTCGTGACCCAATGAGAAGAAACGATCCCGATCCCAGATCAGTATCATGACCTAAGATGAAACTTCACCACTTCTATCTAGCGCAAGGGATTCCACCCCCTCAATTTGCAAGAGAAACTTCTAGAATGTTAGCATCCTCAATCTTTATTTCCGTTCTTTGCACAGTTGCTTTATAAAATGCACACAGACACACAGACAATGTTGGCAGTTTTGGCTTGTGTGAACCTGGAATAGGGCGTGCCTCACTTCAGGCAGTTAAGAACTAGGACATTTCATCTTGATGTCTTAGGATTACATGCAAAAGTTCCCAAGTCTACTCCCTAACATCTCCAGGCAGCCTGAGATTTCTTTCTTCTTAAAAGCTTGTGAAATGGTTTTGAATGAGACCAGGGGCCTCCAAACTTGGCAACTTTAAGACTTGTGAATTCCAACTCCCAGAATTCCTCGGCCAACCTGAATTAGATGAGCCAATGACCTGGCTTGATACAAGAAAGCAGTGAATGTTCTGGTATTCTTCTGGCAGGCTGGAGAAGATGTGCACCTGCCACACTATTAAGAACAACCATAAAGGCAGGAGAGGTGCTTGAGGATGCAAGAAAGGATAATGAGGTGAGTTCTAGCAAGGAGTCCCGATGGGATAAAATGTTGCACATGTTTGTTTGGGAGTAACATACACATATATCAATTTATATAATCCTTGTAACTGAAAAGATGGCTCACTTTTGTTCTCGAACTTGGGAATCCTGGTGTTTAATGGGTGCATATGTACCAGGGAGACCTTCTGCATAAACCTTACCAAAATGAAAAGCGGCTTGAAAATAACGTGACATACTCTAATGATCTTTCCCTTATTTCATCTTTCTCACACTTCTGACCTCTGTAGAACCACACAATCACTGGCCATCTTCTCTGCCTCTGAATTTCTGGAATTCACTATCAGAAACGGGTTAACTATTCACTTTTTGAAAGTATCTTAAGTATCCAAAGATCTTACAACTATCTTACTCCCCCCCCCCCCCAAAAAAAGACGCTGTTGGAGAAACTGATGCAATAGCCCCCTCAACCTACCTCCCAACTATTTCATGGCTGATTTAAAAAAAAGAAGGCCTTTGCTCACTAAAGATTCTTAATTGCACAGAGAAAATTAGTAGGGGAAGTTTCACAAGGATACAACTGCTGACTCAGTGCAATAACTGTCCTTTATGCAGGCCTGTTATTCTATTGCAAGGCTCTTATTGGGCTGAATGCGACATATGGACAAGATAAATGATCTTTGGTGTTGCAACTGAATCAGTAGCAATCAACTCACAGGTGCAGGAGAAGAAACTGAAAGAATCTACAAACTGTTTGGTGTGTAGGATGCACCATCCGCTTATTCATTTAAATATAATCTTTTAAGATTCTGGGTGGTGCCCTGATTAGTTCTTCTCCTGGAGTCAACCTCTTCTCAATTTAATTTAATGAAGTGGGTTTTGAGTTTATTCATAAACCAGGTGAAAAGAGGATAAAAAGATGCCGGGATTTCTGCAGGGCTCCCCTATAGATACAGATTTCTCGGCTACATGAATGTTGCTGGACTGGGAAATGGTCTTCTTATCTGGCTTCTTAAACCTGTGCAATTACATAGATTAAAGCAATGTCCCCTCCCTTGGCGTTTCAGATCAGATAAGCTTCATCCAGTATCATCAACTTTATTTCTCTGCCTGTGTCAGCTGGTTTACATATAGTTCTAAGCCAGCTCTGGCACATCTTGATGAGCAGGAATTACGCTATTTGAGGCATGGGAAGGGTAACAGTTGGCAAGTAGGGAAGCACAGTGGGCAGGACCCAGTCCTCATGGGAGCAGAATGAGTTTTTCCATTTCTTGCTCCTGACTTAGAGGAGAGCAATTTGGTTTCATTCCAGGGACATCTTCATGGTATGGTCCAGAAAGCCAAGGGCAGCTGCTGGGGTGATAAAAGTCAAGAGGCAGCTGTCGGGGCGATCAAAGCTGGTCCTATATTTCTACATGTAGGGAACGCTCGCGAAGCAAGCAGAACTTCAACTGAGGAGTCCATAGTGCTCTCTGGGCTGGGTTGTTTTCTTGCAGGCATTTCATTACCTAAACTAGTCCTGATGAAGTTATCTAGTTTGGGTAATGAAATGTCTGCAAGAGAACAACCAAGCTCAGAGAGCACCAAGGACTCCTCATGTCAGCCCTGAGCTACAGATAACATCTCCTTTATCAGAGTTTCAATTAGCTGTTGAGACCACCATCTTGAATTTTCGAACCACGCCCTGAGGATGTCCCTGGGAATTGGAGAGAGAGGGAAAAAAACAGGTTAGACTCCTTTCAGCGAGGTCAGCCTTGAGAAACTGCTTGGAGTGGTGCTTGCAGCGTTTATATTTCCAGAGAGGGATAGTGGTTAAGATGGTACACTAGGACTGGGCAACAACCTACGTCCCAGTCCCTTCTCAACCACAGAAGCTCCCTGGGTGACTTTGGGCCAGTTCTGCTCTGTGGGGCCACTGTGCCGTGCATAAAATGGACATCCTCCTTATTAGCTACCTTGAGCTCTCAGAGAAAAGGTGAGATTCAAATCTAACAAATACATTTAAAAGTAATAATAATACCAGCTTTGGGGTGAATTGCTAATTTCTTTAAATTAAATAAGCTTTCTTCCTAGCTCTGAGCCGATGCTTTTAACAGCAGTCTGTGAAAAAGAAATTTAGCAGGCAAATTCTACTCCTTCCTTTACTATCTAATTCTATAAAAGGAAATATTTTAGCTACGAAAATTCCGTTTGACTAAAGAGCTGGTACAATAACATTAAAAAGAAAGGGTGCACTTGGTATCATTGCAGAAAACAGGCAAGTTTATCATTATCTATCTTACGTTTATAATCTGTTGTATGTTGTGTTATGTGTACTTTTTGTATTTGCTACCTAGTGGAGTGTTAGAAGTCATGTAAACAGGTTTGGGATGGGTTTGACTGTCTTCATCAAAAGAATAGCTCTTCAGAAACTGGGTAGAATGAGATTCAGTTTGTACTAGAGGGAGAAATTGCTGAAAAAACCATCCAGTTCAGAAACAGGTTGGGAGCTCTAGAGAATAGAGGGGGAAAAAATT